ACCCAAAATCTCTGTAAATGTTTATGAAAATTAATAAAATATAGAAAGAAAAAAAAAAGAATTAAGGGTTACGAGATCACATCTAGTCTGATAACACCTGCTAGTTAGCTTTTACTACTCCCATTTTATAGATGAGTAAACTGAATGAAGCCAGGAGATACTATCCTGCTTGTCCACACCCACACAGTTACTGATGGGACTAATTTGAACGCCCTCATTCTACGTCTGTCTGGTTCAGGAATCTAAACCCTTCCCACTGCATCACTGTCAGTGGTTCACAACCAGGAGCAGTTCATGCCAGCGTAGTGCTCCAAGCACAACCCAGGTGGCACTGCTCAGCCAGCCTGCCCTCCGCCTGCACTCACCTGATAGTCTGAGGTCATGATCAGTCCGCCTGAGGTAGTGGTAGGAGGAACAACTCTCACTTTTTTCAGCGGGGGTCCCTGCGCGTGACTGCTGTCTTGATTCCCTGGGTGGCCGGTTCCATTCGTGTGGTTATTGCCCTGTTGCTGCTGCTGGTTCTTCTCAATTGGTTCAATAGAAAAAGAAAGCTCAGCTCAGACGGAGAACAGGGGACACCTGCCAGGCAGGGCTGGGCAGCACTCTAGCCCACAGGCTGCCGGCGCCACTTTGACACTTACTTTGTCTCCTTTGTCATCGGGTTCTTCTTCTGTTAAAAATTCTCGTTTGGGATAAGGGATCTGACAACCGGCAAAAACGCTGTGAAAGAGGAAAAAGAGAGAGGATGATTTCTGGTCGGCTACCAGGATGTCACGTGCTTAGGTAAGGCTATTTCATTTTACCCTTGTGAGGCAGACTGGAGCCTTATATTTGCAAATAGAAGCACCACCTTCATGAAGTGTGGCAAGCTGGCTCTACTAAGCAGTGATCCAACGGCAGGCCCATCCAGGGCTTTCCATGGCATAAAAGAACTGATAATCATCCAATATACAGCATTCTTTTTTAATATAACAACTAAAACAAATTCTAGCTCAGTGCGTCACTGCTGTTTGATGCCATCGAGCCAGCGCCAGCGGAGCCTGAGCCAGTGCGGCAGCCACTGTGCCACCCCATCTCAATGACGGTCTTCGTCACTCACCTTCGACTTAAAAAACAGTGTCCTTTTCGAGAAACTGGCCCTTCCTAATGCGACAACAAACCCAAACTATGTAAGATGAAACTTACCATCCACATTTTTAGGGAGTATTCTGGCTGCACTTGTGTGTCACTATTCACAATTTCTGACACAATTTCTGACTTAATCTACTGAATTTGCAACAGAAGATTCTATGGGGAAGAGGGCTGCACCGGGGAATGGCATTTGCCCCCTGGAACAGAACACTGTAACTGCGGTTGTGAGCAGTCATCTGGGAACAGCCACAGCGTGCGTCATCAGCCTGTCACCGAGTAACAGGATTAGTGCTGGAACCAATGGGATCAACATTTCATAAAATATGAGACAGTCTGCTGTACCCTTAACTGAGGAACCCCATATAACCCTTCTTCACTTGACAGAACACATTTTGACTTTTCATAATTTTCTTGAGTCCTTTATGAAAAACAATGGTAGCCTGAAGTTGACAACCAACAAAAAGAACACAAGTTCTAGAAAATTCTGCCCTGCTGGTACAGTACGGATGGGCCACTTACTCTGACGTAGGAAGTGGGTCTTCTAAGAAATAGGGATCCTGCATAGCCTGTTCTGAGGTAATTCGCTTGACTGGGTCCATGGTAAGCAATTTCTGAAGCTGCAATCACAAATCATAAAGGCATTAGTACCACACTGTCTCTCACGACTACTGGTGGTTTATATATGGGAGGTATAGTGTTGCTTGTTTCATAAAATGCATGGCACCATAATTTATTCCCTCAAATTAACATACAGTTGTATTAACTATAAAATAAAATTTAATGAAGAAATTAAAACTCTGGTCAATTTAAAATGATCTCATAGAAGTAGTAACCAAGTTTATGTCTTCTAACTCTAAACCAGTATCTAGAAATCAAAATCTATTTCATGACTGAAACTGGTTTATCTAGTGTAGACTAGGTCTAAATTTTCTCTTTTTCTATTAAGAGAGGAAAAATACAGCAATAAAAATACTCCAGCCACACACAGCTATTTAGATTTACATTTAATCAAATAACAAATTCCGCTTCCCAGTCACATTAAATTATTCAGGAGTTGAGTTGATGTTTTTGGGTAGTGGCTGCCTTGTTAAGCAAGGAGCCCTGGTGGCACAGTGAATTATGTGTAGCTGCTAACCTAAATGCCAGCAGTTCAAATCTACCAGCTGCTCTGTGGAAGAATACCCATGAAGATTTATGGATACCTGACAGAGGGTTGCTGTAAGCTGAAATGAAGACCATACTGAGGGGAACGGGTCCTATCCAGCAGCACTGAGAACTCTTTTGTCATCATAGAAGTTCTATTGGACAGTGCTGCATTCGCCTATATAAATGTGATAGAGACCTTGCCAGGTGCACAGCTAAGGTTATAAAAACCTGACTCCATAGCTATCACCTGAGTGACCTTGGCCAGGTTCCATCATCTCTGCAACTCCATTTATCAGATAGAGATTAAAAATAGTACTCTTATCACAGACTTGATTTCAAAGCTAAATAATACATAGAAAGCACACAGTGATGCCTGACTCTAAGAGGTCATCACATAAGAGCTGTTATTTGTCAGATCAGAAATATCATGCTAATGGCACTGAGGTGAATATGCTGTAATTCTGGTTCAAACACAGTTCTATAAAGGCTCCATGAACTAAGACAATTGGTTTTAATAAATGGTTTAGGAAATTACAGGCAGTCCCTAGGTTACAAATGAGAAACGTTTCTAACTGGGTCTTTAAGAGTTTGTAGGTCAGCTGCAACAGGTGCAGACAGTTCCTATTCAGCCTCAGTTAGTGCGAGAAGAAAGCATACTGGTGGGGTAGTGCATTACGGATTGTGATGCTAAGTGAAAAGGAAGTGATGTGAGTCCACGAGCCACAACACACTGGAGAACTACAGACAATCCCTCCCTGTAAAGATTTATAGCCTCAGAAACCCAATGGAGGGTGAGTGAACTGGAATCGACTCCAAGGTAGTGGGACTGCATTGGGTCTGTGCGAAAAGGCTTGAAGCCTTTCCAGTGAATTAAAAGCTGCAGCAAGTGAAGGCAACTGTGACGATGACTTTATGAGTGGAGGTTGGTTCAATTGGTTTACTCAGTACTGCTAAGGCAGTTCCAACTCACGGCTACCCTCCACAGGGTCTCCGAGGCTGTAATACTGGAGGAGGAGGAGGCTGACCATCTTTCTTTCTAGGAGGTGCTCGTGGACTTGAACTGTGGGATACATGCAGCCTTTGGGTTATGAGCAGCACAATTCACTACACATTATACCACTAGAATGCTCCCACTGTTTTATAGTGAGGGATATTTATACAAACACAAAACAACTTTTAGGTCAAAACAGCATTGTCTCACTCAAACACAGAGGCCGCCCACGCTGCTCTGAATGTGTGGCGTTCTCAATCCTGCTGACAATCCGGTTTCCCAGGGCAGGCTCCTGAAAGGGCCACACCACCTCTTCTCGGCCCTCTCCCAATCTTAAAACGTGACTGTTTTTTCCCTTCCTCCTTTCCTCGTGCTGGGTACATCTACACTGTAAAAATTCTGGTCTGTTTCTGTTTTGCTTCTTTGGTTATGACAGAATAAATTCAAAAGTTCAAAGGCTAGCTTAAATGAGATCCGCATAATCTATGGACTGCTTGTACTTTTTGATCTACTATGCTGGTTTGGCAGGTAAAAGATGGGCTCTCTCCTTGTGTGATTTATTGCTTCTGAAAACCAACTGGAGAGTCAGTTATGTGTTGGTTCCAATTTGATGGTACACAATAACAACAATGACAGTTTGGTGACTAATTGAAAGGTTTCTTTATTCTCATTAGCTTCTCGGAGGAAGGAAGATGAGACAGTCTGTTCTCATAACCATTACAGTCCAGGCAACCCTACAGAAAACGTCTACTTTGGACTTTAGTGTTGCTACGAGTCGGCATAAAACCAACTGCAATAGGCAATGACTTTCAAACGGGAGTGTGCAGCAGAGCACCTGCCGAGCCTGCTGGTAAAGACTGTGGGCCCTGCCCCAGAGCACCTGACTGGTCTGTCTGGGCAGGAGCCCCAGACCCTGCACTTCCAAAAGCTCCCAGTGAAGTTTAAGCTGCTGGACTGGGGCCATACTCTGAAAACCAGTGATCACATCTGCACGCAGGTTCTTCGGAGATGACAAGTTTTAGAGGACTGATGTCAAAAGGATTAAACGTATAAGTGAAATGCAGAGATAATAAGCTATAAATTTAATTTAAAGGTTCTTCAGTGAAAGGATGATTCTGTCTTAGGGTTGAGAAAAGAAGCTTGGATTTCTCATTTAAGATGTGGTGGTATGTGCTGTCGAGCTGGAACTGACTCACAGCTAAACCTCCAGTAAATTTTCAGAGGCTGTAAACGTCCAAAGGGGAGACTGCTCATCTCTCTCCCATGGAGCAGGTGGTAGATTCAAACCACCCACTTTTGGATTGTACAACTTCTTACCCAGTAGGCCACCAGCACTTCCTTATTTCAGACAGTGAGCCTTCTTAGTGGAGTTAAAAAGCACTTTCACTTCACCAAGGAAGACATTCAGATAGCCAACAAGCACATGAAGAAATGTTCAAAATCCCTAGCCCTGAGAGAGATGCAAATCAAGACAACCAT